AGCTTTTTAGCTAGCAGCCTAAATTACTTGTTTAGAATAAAGCCAAGTAAATAGAACTGGAACATAAAGAACTGTTATTATTTTCCTTATTGATATGTGATGGTAACATTCTGTCAAATTTTATAATGTCTAATAGTCCAGGTATTTATCTGAAAGGAGTAGCAAGGATGTTAATTATAATTCTGAAACTCAGTTAAAATTCTCAAAGTTATGAACTAGTTTAAGAGGCAGGATTTCAGATTCCCATCACTAGCAGCCCATGGGTAAAGTATATTTACAAATTATATTTCTGGTCCTGCAATTTAGTTAATTTGTGCTATTCAGTTAACTTCATGGGATTTTTACAGAGCAGTCTGTAATACTTTATTGCTTTTTCTAGGGAATTAATGTGATAATGAATGATGTCTATAAATGACCGTACATTGGCAATCCCCTAAAAAGCCAGTATTAAAATGTTAATGCAGTGTTTTCCATACTTGGGGGCTGACAGGAATTTCCTATCAAAAGTGTCCCTCTAGAAAAGATCATACTTAGAACAAATCTAAAAATACGCCTATTGTGATTTATTCTATAATAAGCATATTCTTTCTATCAACCTATCTACCTATTTATTATAATATTAATTTTTTCTGATAACCCATCTTATATCAGGTAGAATTTTATCAACACTAAGATTGAGGATCATTTTTTTCCAAGCATGAAGAAAACAAAATTTGCAGTTTCCTGAAGATGAGAGATTCATGAAATTCTGTGCTCTGGTTTAGTTTTTCTTTTTAAATATATTAGCAAAAGCCTTCAGTCAAGGCATGAAGACGAGCTTAATTAAACTTGACATAATGATGTGCCCTGAAGCCCTGACCCTATTTTAGGCATATCAGTCACAGGGAGGAAAGCCGGGGTACGTGTGGGAGGCGGGCATGAACTTCTGGCTGCCTTACAGTAACGAATCTGACTGAAGGGTAGGGCTTTATCGTCTACGTTGATCCTGAAAGGATTTGGTATGTGAAAGGCATACCAAGTTCCAGCCCTCACTGGTCCAAGGGTGAGAACAAAACCTAAAAACAAGCTAGGTAGAAGAGGGTTTTAAAGACCATGGCCACCTATGGCTATTTCATTTAGACATGCTCAAGCAAGTCCTTAACTTAGCACTGCCTTTTCAAAGCTGAAGCCCCAAACAACCATGTGTACTTTTCACCAAGAAATATTGTCATTAAAATTTAAAACTAACAGAAAAACTTTGCTAGGCATTCTCGGTTCAACTCTGCCAGCCACAAAACAATCAATGCTCTCCCCTTTGTCTCTCTCTGTTCTTCTCGTCTTATTTTCTGTTCCTATCCCTTTCTCCCCCAAAATATATCATTTGTAACCAAAACAAACAAAATGTTCTTATGCATGACATGATTGGATTATCTTAGCAATACTCTGAAACTAGAAAAACAAACTTTAAAGTATGTCATATATTGTAGTGTTTCTTAGAGACAAAAATGCTTTAAGAAATATTGGCAAAATGTTCTTTAAGATATGTATTATTCTGTTTAGGTGATAAATAGGTGCTGATTTACTCATGCTATCTTGCCCAATTTAATAGTGATTACTAGCCCCCATCCACGTGAGGTTAAAGGAGTGGTCTGTGGTCACAAAAAAAGTTCAAGCAAACTCTCCCAAATCAGGACTTAACAAATGATCTTGACCTTCCTGGCATAGAATGCCAATCAACTAAACTGACAGGCAATTAAGCATTTTATATACAATAAGTGCTCAATATATATTTGTTGATACTAATAATAGGTTACAGAAAGAATTAGAAAGTAATCATAACTTTAATGGAAAAAATGTACTAGAAAGAGATAAGATCTGTTATTATACTACTGTTCTCTTATCATAAATGCTTACAGATATGTTTAATTTTTTACAATAAATGGGTAACTGTGTTTTTAATAATAAACTTAAGTGATAACTTTTAAAAATGTATAACAATTATCCTGGATATTAGAAGCACTGCGTTTTTTTAGGGCTTCAGTAAAATTATCTAGATTGTATGTTCTCAAAAGTTAGCCATTTTATTTTATTTTTTATTTACTCTTTATTGTATTTTTCCATTATTATTTAGTCCCTTTTTAACCCCCCATCCTCCAAACTAGTCAGGTGATTTAATTCTTCTTTTTAAAAAATTAATTGTTTTGAATACAGGTTACATTTAGTATTATTCTGTATTAGTTTCAGGTATATAGCACAGTGGCTAGATACTCCTATCCTTTACAAACGGATCCCCCCTGATATTTCAAATTATACTACTATTGGCTATATTCCATGTGCTGTATTTTATATCTCCATGACTATTTTCTGCATTGTTTTTTTATCTTTATTGTATTTTTTCCCCTTAGACCCCTCTTGCCCCAACAATCACCACACTCTTGTCCATGTCCATGAGTCCTTTTTCCTTCCCGCTCAATCCCTCCTCCCCGTAACCTGACCTCGCCCCCAGCTGTCATCCTGCTCCCCATCTACGAGTCTGTCTCCAGTTTCCTTGTTAGTTCAGGTTGTTCATTAGATTCCACATATGAGTGAAATCATATGATATTTGTGTCTTTCTCTACTGGCTTACTTCACTTAGCACAATGTTCTCCAGGTCCATCCAGTGTCGCAAAGGGTAACATTTTCTTCTTTTTTATGCCCAGTATAATTCCATTGTATAAATGTCCTATAGTTGTTTTATCCACTCATCTATCGATAGAAACGTGGGCTGCTTCCATATCTTGGTGATTGTAAATAATAATGCAATGAAAATAGAGGTGGCTTATGTTCTTTCGATTTACTGTTTTGGGTTCCTTCAGATATATTTCCAGTAGTGGGATAGCTCGGTCAAAAGGCAGATCCATTTTCAATTTTTTGAGGTACCTCCACACTGCTTTCCACAGTGGCTGCACCAGTCTGCATTCCCACAAACAGTGCAAAAGTATTCCCCTTTCTCCACTTGTTGCCAGCACTTGTTTTTTGATTTATTGATGATAGCCATTCTGACAGGTGTGAGATGGTATCTCACTGTGGTCTTAATTTGCATTTCTCTGATATTAGTGATGTTTAGCATCTTTTCATATGTCTACATGTCTACTGGCCATCTTTATGTCCTCTTTGGAAAAATGTCTGTTCAGGTCCTTTGTCCATTTTTTATTTGGGTTGTTTGTTTTTTGCTTTTTTTGGTGTTGAGTTTTGTAAGTTCTTTATAAATTTTGGATATTAACCCCTTATCAAATGTATCAGCAAGTATGTTCTCCCATTCTGTGGGTTGTCTTTTTATTTTGTTGATGATTTCCTTTGCTGTGCAAAAACTTTTTAGTTTTATGTAGTCCCATTTGTTTATTTTTCATTTTGTTTCTCTTGCCTGGGAAGATATATCTGATAAAATACTGCTACAAATAATGTCCAAGGTTTTGCTGCCTCTGTTCTCTTCTATGATTTTTATGGTTTCGAGTCTAACATTTAAGTCTTTGATCCATTTTGAACTTATTCTTGTGTGTAGCATAAGAAGGTGGTCTAGTTTCATTTTTCTGCAAATATCTGTCCAATTTTCCCAACACCATTTATTGAATAAACTATCTTTAGCCATTGTATGTGCTTGCCTCCTCTATCAAATATTAATTGACTATAAAGGTGTGGCTTACTTCTGGGCTCTTTATCCTGTTCCATTGATCTACGTGTTTGTTTTATGCCAGTACCATGCTGTTTTGATTACTACAGCCTTAAAGTATAGTTTCATATTAGGTGCATGATTCCTTCGTCCTTTTTCAGGATCACTGTTGCTATGCAGGGCCTTGCATGGGTTCATGTAAATTTTTGAAATATTTGTTCTAGTTCTGTGAAACACATCATTGGAATCTTGATAGGAATTGTATTGAATCTATAGATTGCTTTGGGTAGTATGGCATTTTAATTATGTTAATTCTTTCTACCCATGAACATGGTATCTATTTCCACTTTTTTGTATCTTCTTCTGTTCTTTCTTCGGTGTCTCATAATTTTCCAAGTACAGGTCTTTTACATCCTTGGTTAGGTTTATTCCACGGTGTTTTATTCTTTTTGTAGCAATTGTGAATGGGATTGTTTCCTTCACTTCCCTTTCTATTAGTACATTACTGGCATATAAAAATGCAACTAATTTCTGGATGTTAATTTTGTATCCTGCTACTTTGCTGAACTTATTTATCAGTTCTAGTAGTTTCTTGGTGGAATCATTGGTGTTTTCTATGGATAGTATCATGTCAAAAAGATAGTCATTTTAGATAAGTTTATCATATGTAGTTGAATGAACAATGGTAGTAATGTAACAGTTTGATTTTGTAAAAGAAAAGACTTCTATGGATGTTATGTAATTTTTTTTTTGCTTTTTATACTTGTTTAAGGAAATGTTCATTTAGATATCTTTTGCCTATATAAAGGAAAGACTAAATAAAAGTAAAATAAAACCATGCAAATTCAATTATAAAAAATAAAATAAAGTTTTTAATTGTTCATACAAGTAATCAAGTTATATTTTATGTAGGCCATATTTGTTGATATGTATATATCTTTTATGAGACCATAGGAATTATTTGTGAGGTTCTATTAATTATTACTATGAATTACAGCTAGATAGATATACAAATCAGACATAAATTAATCAAATCAAATTGTTTTCTACATATATATTATTTTTTTTTGATTGTATGTGTATGTGTGTTGTTTGTGGAAAAACACCAAATACTTTAAACAGGAGGCTTAATGTATTGGCAATGACTAAACATAAATTTGTATTGTGAATACAGATAAAGGTAAGATTATAAGATTATAAGAATGATAAAATAAAACTATAGATATTAAAAATTACTTAAAATATTAACACCAAAGGCAACATAATTAAATATTGATATATCTACTAAGTTGATTTTAAGATAAAATAATAGCAAGAATACTGCATTTTGAGAAAAATAAGAAAAAATTCACAAAGAATTAATTTTACCAACCTGACTAATTTTTCTTTGTTCTTGTAAGGCTTTTTGAATTGCCTGAGATACTTTTTCTTGATCTTTTGCAAGTTCAGCCTTCCAGAATTCCTGTTCCTCAGCATGAGCTTTTTCCCATTTTTTTCTTTCTTCTTCTACGGCTTTTAAAACTTCATCTGTCACTGCTTCTTTCTCCAGCTTCAGAACAAATAATGACCGAAACAAAACAAACTGAAAGGATGACTACACAATAATTCTTTGAATAAGAGACTTGCGCTAACCTAAAAAACACAAAACTTTGATTCTACAGGGTTAGTTCTGACGTTTTTATGCATATTTAATAATTGCTGCAAAATAAAATCAGTGATTTCTTTATTATACAAATGATCAGCTGATTTCCATGCCATTTATAAACTTAAAAGAAACCAAACCTTAGCTTAAAGTAACAGTTAGTTGTTGAGCGATTTGGTCTTGGGATCCCTTTAGGTTCTTAAAAATTACTGAAGACTTCAAAGAGCTATTGTTTTTGTTTGTTTTACATATTAAGATTCACCATATTAGGAATTTAAACCAAGACAAAATTATTTATTGATTAGTTCATTTAAAACTAGTAACATTAAAGGCACCATATATTAACAAACATTATATTTTATAAAAAATAACTATTTTCCAAAATTAAAAAGTGAAAAGAATGTTTCTAAACCTCCTTCATATCTGATTTAAGACATCTAGATGTTTATATCTGCCTTCTGTATTAAACCCATCATGATATTATTTGGTTGAAGTATATTAAAAAGAAAAAAACCCATCTCACAGAGATATGTAGTAGAGATGGGAGGAATATTTAGTAGACAGGCTGAGATTATTGTAGATATTCTTGATGATTCCACACCAAAACTTAATACGAGGTAGTTCTTAAAAGCTGGTTGCAATAAGGAAAACCAAATCACATCAATGAAATTTTTGTACTCTTACAGTCTTTCTTGCACTTTGAATAAATTCTTTACTTGTGCATGATTTTAAAGAAAACAAAACATTTTTTCACTTAGAAAACATTGAATGAAAGCAAATACAAATTTTCCAAAATTCTAATTTTTGCTTTGAAGCTCAAAATTTACCAAAAGCAACAAAAATTCTCAGCATTTTTTCTTAATGTGCTGGGCTCACTCTACTTATTTTGGAAAACATGACTGTCAAATATTAAAGCCTATGTAACCCTATTCAGTAAAATGGATTTCCATGAAAAAAAAGTGCCTACTTCAGTTGCTGCTCAAACAACTGCACAAGAATTTTCCTCAAGGAAACCATCCCACTTTGGTATGCAGTAAAGTCCACGGACCTCCCACCCTTAATCCCTAGAGAGTTACCACTTTTTCTACGGCTTCTAGTTCATGACCAATTTGACAAGAATTATAGAAGATGACAGTTACCATTTTCAAAACTTCTATGTTACTCCACCATTCTTAAACTACTCTCGGTAGGCTCACCAATACCTTCCAGTTTCTTTAATCCAAATGATATTTTTTTGTTGTTTTAGCCCTTATTTTTGTTAACTTCAAAGCAACATTCTACATAGTTGTCTATTTCTGTTTTCTTGAATGCCTCTCTTTTCTTGGTTTGCATGACAGCATGCAGCTTGCATTTCTCCTACAGATCTGGCTGAGTCTTTTCAGTTTTTTATAACCTCTTCCTTTCTCTGGATTTTAAATTTTGTTGTTCTTTCAGGGCTCAGACATTGAACCACTTGTTACTTTACACTCTCCTGTGTACACGACAATATTTCCAGGGCTACCTATTACCATCTATCTGCTGAAAAACAAAAACCATTAGTATCTTCAGGTCATTCCTTTCTCCTGAATTCTAAATGTCAGATAGATTTAGTTGTCTACTTGACTTTGCCACTGTGCATATCACAGGCACCTCAAACTCCATACCATAGAGATAGCATTAGTTTTCATGTTGCTGTTGAATCAATGCTCAGAGAGTTCACAAATTGGTCACCTCCTATATCATCCAGACCAAACATATATGTTGATCCCATCTTCTAACTATTTCTAGAATTTGTCTATATATTTCCATTCCAAGCTATTTCTACTACTCTATTTCTGCCACTCACTATATCTTACCTACACTTCTGATGCACTCAGTTAATTCCTTATCTGTCTCTTTCCTTTGTTGTCTCCCGTTTCTCAAAAGTTAATGTCAATCACCATTAGGTCACACTAATATTCAAAAAATGTCAATGTGTCTACCCTTACCTATGGAATGAAATTCAAGGTTATAAGTTAGAATGTAAGCCATCCTTCAAGACTCATTTCAAAAGTAATTTATTGTTAAAAACTCCTCTGACATGGAAATATTATCTGTACACTCATACTAATTTAATGCATTGCTCCTTGCCTTATTGGTACATAAATAACATTTTCTTACCTGACTGTAAGTTCTTTAAGAAAAAGAGAAAATCACAGTCAACTTTGAAATTCTACCTGGCATGTTTATTTACATATAAGAGACTTTCAGTATTTGTTTACTAAAGTTAAATCCAAATCTCAAAAGTTAGTATTTTATATGAATTTGTTGATATATATCTATGAATCATTCCGATGAACTCTTTCAAAGTTGGCTTTAAAAATTACATATCTTGATCACTCATTAAATATGTATACACATAAATATACTTTTATATTGTATATACACATAAATACATGCATGTGTTCACTCACACATACAGGGTCTGGCATAAATAATGTCCCTTTTTATTACAAAAACTTTTATTACAAAATCATAAACATGTAATTCTGTAACATAACAACATCACACTCAAGCACACAATCTGACATTTTAGGTGAAATGTTTAAATTAAAACTATAAATTATTATGCACATATTATTCGCCTACCAACCACTCAGGCAGGCCTCACTTCTGCCAGACCCGGTATTATCGCTTGTATGATACTTATCAAATACCAAGTGGAAATTAGCGTCCATAGATATGTTTTTAAAAATTCTTTTAACAATTAATAATCTAAATGCAAAACATTGCAACATCATCAAAATCTTGTATAATGTGAGTTTAAAGAGAATATGAATGGTGATATCCTAAAAGTTTAAGAGAAAAAATAAGGAAAAAACATTTTTTTTTGTTTTCATAGAATATTTTACAGAGTTAGATTGGTTGCACCATTAATTAACTCAGTTTTTTTAATTCCACTTACAAAGAAACCCATTATTACAGATGAGTTTATACCAGGCAAATAAGTGATAAATACAATTTTCATATGAGAACAAAAATATTCAGTTTAGGCTCTGAGGTGGAGGTAAACATAACAACAAATAGAACAAAAAAATAGAATTAAACTACAGAGTAAACTTTTCAGGTGGAAATACCTTTGCAGCAGATGCTAAGATCTCTTTATTTCTTTGCCTTTCTTCCTCCAAACATCTTTCTAATATTTCCTGTAAATAAGATAGACACTAAGTATATTATCTGAAGTAACAGAACACATTCTTCCCACTCTCTGAGCAAACTTAGAGTTTTACCTTCTGTTCTTGAGATTGCTGAGTCAAAGCTTCCTTTATTTTTTCTTTTAACAGGTCCTTCTCTGTATCTAGTACTTCAAGGAGCCTCTGATGCTGCAAGGAACGATAAATGGACTGTGATTACACTCTGAGATCTATAATCTATCAACAAGGAAAACAGCTGGTAGAATTCATTTGCCCCAAAATATTGTACTTTACCACATATTCAAAAAAATGAATCAATGAAAACACTCAATATTATGTTATAGCTAACGTTAAAGTACAGAGTTCATGTATTTACTTTTATTCCCAAGTACTAGTTAAAAAACACACAGAACCATCAGCCAGTTATCATGAAGTAGACACTTGGATTTTGAAATGTATTATCTAAGAAAATTTGATCTTTGTAGCTTCAATATATTCAATATAGATGAGCCAGATACTTGTTCTGGAACCATTTTCTTATCTTATTATTCACACAGATTTTTCTTTTAGTTACTAAGGACAAATAAGGTATTTTCTTAAATTTAGAATGCTATTTACATACAAGCCTCCTTTAAATATAAACTTACCCTGATACCCAATAATTAAAAACAAATCTATGTCTTTCAAAGTTGTTCTGATTTAAAACTTTTTTAAGGGAAGCAGTCTGCATAGTCATGTCTAGTGCAGATAATCTATTATTTCTGGTTTTAACTGTTATTTTTTATCTTTAAGAAAATAAGAAAAATCACTGTACTCCAGAAAGAAAACACCTTTATCAACAATAGCAGAACAGAATCACATGGACTGGGAGAGCAGCAAACTAAACAAATTTTCCCATGTTTGCAACATAGAATCCTTGCCCCCAAATACTTGGCATGTGCTTTGGACAAGTCATCTCTGTGTATTTCATCATTGTCCCTTTTACAAAGTGGGGATTTTGTTGCAGTTATAGTTGACCCTTGAACAATGCAGGGGGTGGGGCACTGCCCCTATGCAGTCAAAAATCCATATATAACTCCTGACCCCTGAAACTTAACTGTTGTCCCTCAGTATCTGTGGGGGATTAGTCTAGGACTCCCTACGAGGAGACCGAAGGCCAGAGACGCTCAAACCCCTTATGTAAAAATGGTCAAGAACAAAGAGCGCAGGTGGCCCTCGGCATCCGTGAATTCCCAACCACCAAGAAAAACACCATTTCCATCCTTGGATGGTTAAATCCACGGATGCGAAAAACAGAGACACAAAGGGCCAACTGTATATTTATTGAAAAAAATATACATATAAGTGGATCCACACAATTCAATCCTGTGTTGTTCAAGGGTCACCTGCATTCCATTCCTTCTCTTTTCTGTTTGAATTTATTGATTATAGCTTTTTTTTTCTGGGGGGACAAGGGTACTTCTACTTCATGATGCCTGTTTCTTCAAAGTCCCTTTTTATTTATTTAAGTCAGTAACTTTCTCATTCGAAACGTTTCTCTGATATTTGGTAATCTTTTTCTGTATGTCCATATTAAAATCTCAATGCAATAATGCTGGGAGGAAAATCCGTGTATGTGAGTGAACTTCGTAACAGGCACAGAAGGCTGGCTTTCACGGTTGTGCTGGAGCTTCCCCAAGGGCAGGTCTGTTAGTATTTCCTCTTTTTTTCACATAAAGGAAAATATCAAAATTCAAAATTAAAGTTCCAAGAGGGAGAATTCACATTCTTCTTCAATAATAATTTTGAAAATACTTCTCACGAGTGTTATCTTTTCTGATCACACCAACTTTATCTTAGTGCATATTATGAAAGAGTGCGCCTTACACTCAGGGCTTCAGCCCTGCCACAGGCAGCCTAAATCCAGGGGAAAGAGGTGAAAGAATAATGAGCAATAGCTGTAAAAGTTCTATTTTAAAACTTTTCACATTCTTCTATAGATATGATTTGAACAATGTCTATGGTTGTTGGACTTTGTATTAGTCTTTATCCTAAGAGAGTCTGTTAGTCTCTTCTTTCTTAAAATTGTTTAAATTATAAATATGCATGGTAGAAATTCAACCATATATGTTATTATTTTTATATTAAATTGTCATAAATGATAGTTTACATGTTTACTAATTTCTAAATTATTGCACACTCTCTATATAAATTTGTAAGTTTATTAATGTGTTTTTTAACCATACATACAAGAACTATTTGCTTGGTGCCTACCAACACCAGACACTGTACTAGTGTCTAGGGATATAGCCTTCAGGGTCATTACTGATTAATAGATAACTGATGCAACAAATACAGTTTCTTACATTTGACTTGTGAAACTATAGTAAAACAAATTTTCTTCAATAAGTACAGTAACAATTTTTCCCTTCAGCACAACAAAAACCTCTGAAGTAGAAAGTACCAACAATGATTTGGAAATAAAAACTAGAAATGAACTTAAAAAAAAATACAATACAAATTTTAAATTGCGAGTGCTTTTGGAGGAATGGATGGCAATGAAACACAAGATGGCTGTAAATTAAGACTCCAAGAATCAAAATACAATTTTCTTGCCTTTCATTTATTACTATTAACTTTTTATGGATAAACAGATACAGTTAAGACATAAAAATAACTTAGAATAATGTCTGCTGAATAGTAAGAAATTAAATGTTAAATGCTATTATTACACTATTACTACTACAACTACTACTTCTACTCCCTTTTTTATTGGGGTAAAATATAATATAAACATTTCTATTTTAACATTTGTAATTGGACAAATAGGATTCATTAGTTTCACAATGTTGTGCAACCATCAACACCATTTCCAAAGATTGTCCAAACCCCGAACAGAAATTCTGTGCACATTAAGCAACAACTCCCCATTCTCCTTCAACCCAGCTACTGGTAACCTCTAAGCTTTTTCTGTCTCTATGAATTTGCCTGTTTTAAATATTTCATATACATGAAATCAAACAGTAGCTGTCCTTTGTTACTAGCTTATTTCACTTAGCATAATGTTTTCAAGGTCCATCTATGTTATAGTATGTATCTAAAGATCATTCCTTTTTATGATTGAATAACATGCCATTGTATATATATATATACTACATTTACTTATTCATCAGTTGATGGATAATTGGCTTGTTTCCACCTTTTAGCTATTTTGAGTAATGCCTCATACAAATATCTATTTCAGTCCTTGTTTTCCATTTTTTGGGTATATGCATTTACCTAGAAGTAGAACTGCTGGGCCATATGATATGATAATTCCATGTTTAATTTTTTAAGAAACCACCAAACTGTTTTCTACAGCTGGTGTACTATCTTACATTCCCACCAGTAATGTGAAAGAGTTCTAAATCTCTCTATATCCTTTACAATATCTGTTCCTTTCTGTTTTTTTAAAAATTGTTGTCATCTTAGTAGTTTTTGAAATGGTCTCTCATTGTGGTTTTTATATACATTTCCCTAATGACTAAACATGTTGAATATCTTTACAAATGCTATGTCTACTTCTGATACTACTACTACTTCTTTCAACTATTACTAGTATTATATTCATAAAAGGAAAATAATCAGAGCTCTTTTTGTTCTTTTTGAAGCTTAGTAAGGGACTATAGTAGAAAGTACACTGGATTTGAGGTTTGTTCATTGTCTGAGATTCTGCCAAAAGTATGGATGCCTTTCCTCTCTGGGCTAGAGATTATTTTAATTATTTTATTATCACAATCAACTAGAAATTATAAAGTATCAAGAGAGATGGCCTGGCTGAAAAGTTTTCAGCCTCTCTTTATTCTATCTAAAAAAAGAAAAAAAGTATAAAGCATATCTGGAGATTGCCTGTATTACTCCTCCCTTGTGCCTCACTATAGAATTCCTTAATTGTCCAAAAGTTCCCGCACCTGGATATGGTTCACATGGTTTCTGGTGGTATGAGAGATGGTCAATACATTTTTTTTTTGTACCTTATTAACTGATCATTCCAAGGTAGTGTTCTAAATAGCTTCTGTTACACAGAAGCTGAAATTGAACCAGTGGCAACATTCAATCAAAAGACTCTTTTTCAAATATTTTTTAATTTCTAAACAAAGAGAGACTTTCAGCAAAGTTTGCAAGACAGACTTACAGCATTTTAAAAGCCATTATGGAAATTAACTGAAAACTATACATGAAAGGTGAGGATATTTTATTTATCTAAAATAGTCTGTGCTGCTTCCTAAAATTGTATTTTAATTTAAATTGTAATTTTAATTGTAATTCTTTTTAGCAAATTGAAGCAACAAATGCAAACTATAGAGTCCCATTAATCTTACAGAGCAGATGCTTAATTCTAGGGTGTTAAGGGCTGTTCTCTGAAATTTAGCCTAAAACAGAATGCACTCCGGATAGGTTCTGTTGTTCCTCCCCACCCCTCTTTGGAAGAAATTCTTCCAATGTAAAAGATTTGATGCAGACTCAAATATAAATATAGAGGTTCTGTGGTTTTTACTGACTCCTGTAAAAAAAAAGAAATATAAAAGAGCTCCTTTTTTCCTGGAATGTGAGTCATAAGAGATACTGTAAACAGATTTAATCACAATCATACATGGATAGCTTTTGTATATTAAATTTTAGACTAAGCAGCCATGGAAGCTCATATTCAGGTATTTAGTTATCCATTTATCACAGGTCCACAAGCTTCACATTATTGTGTGTGTGCAGGCATGTGTGTAGTATATATCCTGTAATGCAAACTCAAGAAGCACCATCTCATATCTTCTATAAATGACTAACATTAACCAAGATCAAGCGATCTGGCAGGACAGTTTTAAAGCACATGATCATATAGGCCTCGATTTAATGGGACATGAAAGACGCTAAATAAATTTAATAAACATCTTAACATAAAGTAAGTCACGGACATTTCACTCATTCATGGGTCAACATACTAAATATTACTTGGAAGGAAAACCTAAAAAAGATAAACTATGAGATTAAATGTACTTAAAGCAGTTACAACAAGCCCAATAATATCAATAAACTTTTTAAAGTGAATAAAACAAAACTATAATATAAGCTATACTAGTTTTACTTCACCCAAATAGATATATTTCTAACAGGCATTTAAAAAATGTAAGCAAATAAGTCATTCACCCTTTTTAAATAGGCCATTGACTTAAGGG